GAGAGAGAGAGAGAGAGAGAGAGAGAGAGAGAGAGAGAGAGAGAGAGAGAGAGAGAGCAAACCGAGCGGAATGATGCGCGGCGCGCGTGCTCGGCGGCACACACCACGCGCGCTCTCATTTTTTTCTTCAATAATTCTGCAAGATAAAAAAAAATCATTATCTATTAGGTAAATCCCACAAATGAGACTCTTTATGAGGATATAATGAGGCCTAATTGCCGAGACTACAGAGCCACGTGGAAGGATTTAGGAGGCATTAAGCCGCTGGGTACTGAGCACAGACTGTTACCTCCACATTACTTTCATAATTCAAGGAGAAAATTAGTCCATTTAAGGGAAGAAAAAATTGATTCGCTTTATTCTGCTCGGGCTGACAGAGCTGTAGGATTTTTGTCTTTGGTTAAGATGTCTGAGCAGCAAATGAGGCTTGTGTGATCTCAGTCTGTGTTTAAACAGTAAACAYTGAAGAGAAAAGTGAAGCTCTTTGAAGGATGCACATTTAACACAGTATTTATAAAGTGGTTGTTGTATTAAGTTTAATCATGCAGTCTGATGAGAGGTTGACTTCGAAATTACTTAAAAGTATTTTTGGGTGTAGTAACATTAATTTAATTATTGTGTGAACACTATTGTTTTCGTGTTTCTCTTTTTTCTTTATTATTCCAGTTTCTTATGTACATTTTTGGACCGCTACTTCTTCCACAATTTTTACTCTACTTAAACCATTCATATATCAAAATGTTCAGCTCATTCAGGACGTTCCGGCTATGACTTTTGGTAACTTAACTTTTTATCCTTTTTTAAGCAATTTCAATTTTTCAGCAGTTTTTTCCCATTGACTTTGAATGGGTACGTTTTTTGGACGGCTTCTCCTTCCACAGTTTTTATGCTACTTAAACCATTCATATAACAAAATGTTCAGCTCCTTCAGGACATTCCCGCTATGATTTTTGGTTTCTTAAATTTTTTATAGTTTTTTTAGCAATTTCCATTTTTAGACTTTTGATGATGATGATGCCATCAGTGACATCATCAGTTACATCAATGACATCATCAGTGAATCATCAATTTGTTTCTTAGCTTCAGCAAAAGTTATCAGCAAGAGGCATTCACACTTGCATTATCGCCAGAAATGCAAATTCTCTAGTTCTTTTAAATTTTACAAAAAATATCAAAATCTCTAAACTACTAGAATTTAC